CAATAGATGTCATATAAATATGAAGGACCAGAGAGACTCGATGAAAGGTCACGGGAGGGTAGAAGGACCTCTAACTTATGGTTCTCCTAATCCCCATTCTTCCTTCCTCCGCCCCCTTTTTCCTTTATTTAAAGGTTTTTACAGCATTTTGTAACAAATCATAGAAGGCGTCCACAAGGTTTAGGAGTGTGTCTATGGGAATGTTGGACCATTTGTGAGGTCAGGTACTGATGTTGGAGGAGAAGGCCGGGCTCGCAGTCTCCGCTCTAATTCATCCCAAAGGTGTTCTATGGGGTTGAGGTCAGGACTCTGTGCGGCCAGTCACGTTCCTCCCCCCTCCATGTCTTTATGGACCTTGCTTTGTTGGAAGCAAGGTCCATAAAGGAAGGGGCCATCCCCAAACTCCTCCCACAAAGTTGGGAGCATGAAATTGTCCAAAATGTCTTGGTGTCCTGAGGCCTTAAGAGTTCCCTTCACTGGAACTAAGGGGCGGACCCCAACCCCTGAAAAACAACCCCCCCCCCCAAACTTTACACTGGGCACAATGCAGTCAGGCAAGTACCGTTCCCCTGGCAACCGCCAGATCCAGACACGCCCATCGGATTGCCAGACAGAGGAGCGTGATTGGTCACTCCAGAGAACACGTCTCCACTTCTCTAGAGTCCAGTGGCGGCGCGCTTTACACCACGGCATCCCACGCTTTGCATTGCACTTGGTGATGTGAACGTGGAATATTTAGTAGCAAGGAAATTTGACGGAAGACAGAATCCAATGATTTGGAGGGGTGTCCCAATATGTTTGGCAATATAGTGTGTACCCTCCCCGGGCAGTAGGCCTGAGGAGCATGAACTGGACCTCTCTCTCTGGAGATATACCCTCCCCGGGCAGTAGGCCTGAGGAGCATGAACTGGACCTCTCTCTCTGGAGATATACCCTCCCCGGGCAGTAGGCCTGAGGAGCATGAACTGGACCTCTCTCTCTGGAGATATACCCTCCCCGGGCAGTAGGCCTGAGGAGCATGAACTGGACCTCTCTCTCTGGAGATATACCCTCCCCGGGCAGTAGGCCTGAGGAGCATGAACTGGACCTCTCTCTCTGGAGATATACCCTCCCCGGGCAGTAGGCCTGAGGAGCATGAACTGGACCTCTCTCTCTGGAGATATACCCTCCCCGGGCAGTAGGCCTGAGGAGCATGAACTGGACCTCTCTCTCTGGAGATATACCCTCCCCGGGCAGTAGGCCTGAGGAGCATGAACTGGACCTCTCTCTCTGGAGATATACCCTCCCCGGGCAGTAGGCCTGAGGAGCATGAACTGGACCTCTCTCTCTGGAGATATACCCTCCCCGGGCAGTAGGCCTGAGGAGCATGAACTGGACCTCTCTCTCTGGAGATATACCCTCCCCGGGCAGTAGGCCTGAGAAGCATGAACTGGACCTTTCTCTGTCTGGAGATATTCCCTCCCTGGGCAGTAGGCCTGAGAAGCATGAACTGGACTTCTCTCTCCGGAGATAAACCCTCACCGGGCAGTAGGCCTGAGGAGCATTAACTGGACCTCTCTCTCTGGAGATATACCCTCCTCGGGCAGTAGGCCTGAGAAGCATGAACTGGACCTCTCTCTCTGGAGATATACCCTCACCGGGCAGTAGGCCTGAGGAGCATTAACTGGACCTCTCTCTCTGGATATATACCTTCCCCGGGGCAGTAGGCCTGAGAAGCATTAACTGGACCTCTCTCTCTCCGGAGATATACCCTCCCCGGGCAGTAGGCCTGAGGAGCATGAACTGGACCTTTCTCTCTCTGGAGATATATCTGGACTCATGGAACCACTATAATCTTCAACATGAAGAGGGCAATGGTGACCAGTGGCAGTCCAACCCATAACACCAAGGCAATGAGTACTTATGGGAGGCCAATGCATTTAGTAAGTACGTTTCTCGAAAGCAACAATATTGCTTTTTCAACATCTCGGCATCTTCAGAGGTGGGGGGAGTAATGGGGACCCATCTAAGAATTACCATTTTGCAAATAGCGATCTCGAAAGGGAAGTAGCAGTATGCGTGTCTAGGTTAGATGGGTCAAAGGAACCCAGGATACAATAATGGAGTGTTGTTCATTGAGTTGACCGTAACTTCCTGTCTCGAGACACCAAAGGAAGTGATAGGATATTCAAAGTAAGGAAAATTCTTTGGTAGTTGTCACTGGAAAAAGGGTCCCATTTGGAGGATTTTCTGTCTCCATACTTACATACTCCAACATTATGACCCCAGATCCCAACACATTAACCACAGATCACATTTGATCCATTCATGACTATTTTGCAGGTTGATCCCGGTCAAACCCCCACATTGTGCGGATCATGTATCACACCCACTTTACAGGTTGGCCCAACATGTGCAATAACTTACATACTCCATTATTATGTTTAGGGATACTAGGACACTGTTCGCATTTGGTCCAATCATGCCTACTTTGCAGGTTGATCCCGTCCAAACCCCCAATTTGTTGGGACCGCCCATTACATCCACTTTACAGGTTGGCTCCACATGAGCAGTAACTCAGATAAGGTAGATACTGTGACCCAGGACACAGCATCGGTGGGACAGAGGGTCTCCAAGATGCGAGACTGCCCTGACAGGTTGGCATCTACACTGTTCTGGTGACAACAGTGACCAAGACAGATAAAAAGGATGATTTGCCTGGCTAGCTTGGTTTGACATATAAACCTTTCCCACACATGGGAAATGTACCCATCATTGTTCCAGTGTGAGATCTCTGCTGCCTGGCTAGCTAGGATTGACACATAAGCTATTCCTGCACGAGGGAAATTATAAGATTATTGTTCCTTTGTGAGATCTCTGATGTCTGGCTAGCTGGGACTGACATGCAAAACTTTTCCCACACTCAGGACACGAATATGGCTTTTCGCCTGTGTGGGATCTCTCATGAACAGCAAGGTCAGATTTCTGTGAAAAACATTTCCCGCACTCCAGACAGGAATATGGCCTCTCCCCGGTGTGAGATCTTTGATGTCTTATAAGATGCGATTTCTGTACAAAACATTTTCCACACTCAGGACATAAATACGGCTTTTCTCCCGTGTGCGATCTCTGATGTACAGCGAGGTCTGATCTATGGGAAAAACTTTTCCCACACTCGGAACATGAATGTGGTTTCTTCCCAGTGTGAGATCTTTGATGAGTGACGAGATGTGATCGATGTACAAAATATTTCCCGCACTCCAGACACAGGTATGGCTTTTCCCCTGTGTGAGTCCTTAGATGAGCGGTGAGGTAAGACTTTTGCACAAAACTTTTCCCGCACTCGGAACATGAATATTGTTTTTCCCCGGTGTGATACTTTTGATGCACCGTAAGTGCAGATTTATGTTTAAATGTTTTCCCGCACTCAGAACACAAATAGGGCTTCTCGCGCATGTGAGACCTCTGATGTCTGGCAAGATGTGATTTCTTAAGGAAACATTTCCCACACTCGGAACACATATGCGACTTCTCTCCCACGTGAATTTTCTCATGTCCCAGAAGGACACTTCTCAGAGAAAAGTTCTTCCCGCACTCAGAGCAGGAATATGGCTTCTGCCCCGTGTGGACTCTGTGATGTATAGCCAACTGCGACTTGAACAAGTAGCTCTTCCCACACGCGGCGCAAGAGTGCGGCTTCTCGCCCGTATGAGACCTCTGGTGTCGGACGAGATGCGACTTCTTGACGTAACTCCTTCCGCACTCGGAGCAGGAAAAAGGTTTCTGTCCCGTGTGGACTCTTTCGTGTTCCTCTAGTTGAGATCGAAACAGAAAACTCTTCCCGCACATGGAGCAGGAATGGGGCTTGTCGGTCCTGTGAGATCTTTTATGCGTTTGAAGGCTCGATTTAAAATTAAAGGATCTCCCGCACTCGGCGCAGGAGAATATCTTCTCCCTCTGGACTCCAGGGTGAGATTTCTGGGGATTGGAGGGATCTGGTGATCCAACCACACCGAGGAGTCCGGGATGACCAACGGAGGTGAAAGGGTCTTCTCCAGGAGGACCTTGTGAGACGTCCTCGTCTTCCGTTTTACATTCGAGAGCTAAGGTCAGGTGATCCACGGGGGTTGTCATGGTGATGTGTTCATGTTCTTAAAAACAAATTAAAAGATTGTTACATATCAGTCCTTCCACTGGCTTCCATCCCCCGCCGCTCCCTGCCAATCCCTCCACTGGCTTCCATCCTCCGCCGCTCCCTGCCAATCCCTCCACTGGCTTCCATCCTCTGCCGCTCCCTGCCGATCCCTCCACTGGCTTCCCGAAAATAAGATTCTGTTACCACCCCCACCTGACTGAATACATTGTTTCTATGTGTGTATCAGATGATGGGGGATGTAGGCGGAGCCTCCGTACTGCTCTTACCCGGTGATGTGAGGGGCGGGGCATTCTCCATCACCACGTCCTTGTAGAGATCCCGGTGTCCTCCTAAATTTTCCATGTTCTGCACCATGCAGTCATCCTCATCCTCCTCTTCTTTAACAATAATTTTACAGTAACTCAGATATTCGCTCTGAATAGATCATGAAAACATTAGTGGTTACAATGTACATAACATACAATCATCATTCTACTACTTGTTAATGTTAATAAAGGTTCTACCTGATCACGGTGGGGGATGGTGAGATCTTCCTGGGTGGGGTCCCGGGAATACAGGGGGCGGGGACATCTCTCATGGTGGGGGACGGTGAGATCCTCCTGGGTGGAGTCCCGGGAATACAGGGGGCGGGGACATCTCTCTGGTGGGTTCCTCTTACTGGATCCATCTGTAGGAAACACACACACTGACTGATACATTGTTTCTATGTGTGTATCAGATGATGGGGGATGTAGGCGGAGCCTCCGTACTGCTCTCTCCTCTTACCCGGTGATGTGAGGGGCGGGGCATTCTCCATCACCACGTCCTTGTAGAGATCCCGGTGTCCTTCTAGATACTCCCACTCCTCCATGGAGAGATAGACAGAGACATCCTGACACCTTATAGGAACCTGACACACACAATGATACCGTCACCACCCAGACACGCCCCTTGTCTGTTCCTGGATCATGTCCCAGAATTCCCGGCACCGCTCACCTCTCCCGTCACCACCCAGACACATCCCTCGTCTGTTCCTGGATCATGTCCCAGAATTCCCGGCACCGCTCACCTCTCCCGTCACCACCCAGACACGCCCCTTGTCTGTTCCTGGATCATGTCCCAGAATTCCCGGCACCGCTCACCTCTCCCGTCAGCAGCTCCATCATCTTCTTGGTGACTTCTAGAATCTTCTCCATGTTGGGTCTCTCGGGTTTTAGGGAGTCACATGGAGGCACTGTGATGGTCACCTGGTTGAAAAAATTCACAATGAAAGACCAACACTATAATGTGACCTCCCGGAATCCTCCTCACCTCTCCGGTCAGGTCATGTGACCTCCCAGAATCCTCCTCACCTCTCCGGTCAGGTCATGTGACCTCCCAGAATCCTCCTCACCTCTCCGGTCAGCAGGTAGATGATCTCCAGGGTGAGGTTCAGTATCTTCTCGGTCAGGTGACTCCGGTCCTCCTCCTCCATGATGTGATTGTGTGATCTATACAAGACGCTCCTCTCTGTCGATCCCTACAGTCTGCTGAAAACACCAATCAATAGGGGACTAATAACAGTGCCATACTTCTATATGAAGAACCTAAAAAAGTAAGGAGTCCGGACGTTTATTTATATGGTAGCAGTGGTGGGGTTTGTGTATGTAAATATAATATCTTATTACCTCCTCTGCTGCCAGTTCCAGCAATGTCTCCTCTCTACTTCCTCCCAACTCTCCTCTTGCCTGGAACTTCCTATTTATATGTGTCATCACTTCCTGTCTGTAGATACCATAGAGACTTTCAACCCAGTATGGGCAAGATCACCACCTTATGGAGCCCAGAGGAACTGCAGCCACTTCCACAGCCTTGTTTTGTGTTCTCTCGCGATGTCACATTAGTATATTATGTCTTCATGAATAAAATGACAGAGAAAGTCTAGACACCAGAAAATGTTTTATATCAAAGATGTTCCACATTTTCAGATGTTTGGAGGACCACAACAACTGGGATTTGATGTTGGCTAGTTCTGCGTACCGGGGACATTGTTAAGTGGTGCACACCCTTATGAGGGGCTCCCTTACATCTTTGTGGTTTCCTTTCTACAGCCACCGTTGAGTTCCAATGTTCTGAAGTAAAGGTCTACGTATATGGCCTACTATCCGTGTAGGTATCTCACCTAGCTTCAGATGTTCTGCTCTGTGGTCACCGACTCACGGGAAACGAGAGGAGTCTCTTTGGAGGCTTTTTGACATTTTTGAGGCTGATCATGACAACTTCACCTTTCCTGTGAATCTCACGTGGATGAGGAGGTCTATGTTCTGCTAATTATCACCTCATCTGTGTGGAGGAACTTCTGGTGACAAATCATCTTTTCCTACTGATTTCCAGAAGAGAGGAATCTGGCCTCCTACTTACACTCCTTATTACCTCCTCTGCTGCCAGTTCCGGCAATGTCTCCTCTCCACTTCCTCCTGACTCACCTCTCACTCGGCACTTACTATTTATACGTGACACCACTTCCTGTTACCAGATATCACAGACTTCCTGTCTTGGCATAAGTCACATCACCACCTGATGGAGCTCAGAGGAACTGCAGCCCACAAAAAAATGGTGACAATTTAAAATGAATTGTGTATTTAAACTAAATGGGTAGTAGCACCTAGTAGAGGTCCCAGGATGCACTGCCTTCGGGGGCCTAATGTACGGAATAGATACAATTACTTCTCATGAGTACTTTCAACCCAAAAACTGAATGACATTTTAAAGTGCTTGTTTACACATGCCGTTATGGATTAACTCTGAAATGTTTATAAAATAATATATGTGAATAATGGCCTGGACTTGATGGCTTACACCCACGGGTTCTCAGAGAGCTGAGAGGGCTTACACCCACAGGTTCTTAGAGAGCCGAGATGGCTTACACCCACGGGTTCTTAGAGAGCCGAGATGGCTTATACCCACGGGTTCTTAGAGAGCCCAGATGGCTTACACCACGGGTTCTTAGAGAGCTGAGAGGGCTTACACCCACAGGTTCTTAGAGAGCCGAGATGGCTTACACCACGGGTTCTTAGAGAGCTGAGATGGCTTACACCCACGGGTTCTCAGAGAGCTGAGAGGGCTTACACCCATGGGTTCTTAGAGAGCTGAGATGGCTTACACCCACGGGTTCTTAGAGAGCCGAGATGGCTTACACCCATGGGTTCTTAGAGAGCCGAGATGGCTTACAGCCACGGGTTCTTAGGGAGACAAGATGGCTTACACCCACGGGTTCTTAGAGAGCTGAGTTAAGCTACATCATTCTTTTTAACTTAAAGAAGACTCTGTAAGGACAGGCAAGGGTACCAGACTAAAAAGTGACTTGAGGTTTCAATTGGTAACTCTAGATGTGTGACATTATAATCTCATGAGTATATTCAACCCTCTTAAAAACCAAATGGCATTTTATTCCCTTTGAGAGGATCACTTCAACTCGGAAAATGACAACTCTTCCCAATGGGTGCCTTCGATACACCCTTTTCTGAGGGATGCTTAACCTCACTACTTGATGCAGGACCAGACCACAAGGAGGCCTTTAAGCTCCCCTGACAGCAATCAGGTGCAACCAGACCCCTTCCAAGGTCTTGGTGGAGACAGAGATCTTCTGTAGAGGCAGAATCCCTTTGGGGATCCAGCAACCTCTGCAACTGGGAGTCCAAATCTATCTCAATAACTCTTCAAATACAGTTTTTTAAATGTATTATATCAACGCAAAATCACAATAGAAATCTCCCGGTACTTTTCTTCTGTATTTTCCCACTTGGGAGGTCTTCTTCTGTAGGAGATAACGCATGGAAACAGGTCACTATTGTCAATAGTAGTAGAGTTTCTCTTCTCCACATACACTATATTGCCAAAAGTATTGGGCCCCTCCCCCTCCAGATCATTGGGTTCAGGTGTTCCGTGACATTTCACGGCTACTAAATATTCCGCCGCTGTCACCTGTTACTGGGATTATAACAAAGTGGAAGCAACCGGGAACAACAGCAACTCAGCCAGGAAGTGGTCGGCCACGTCACATGACAGAGCGGGGTCAGCGCATGCTGAAGCGCACAGTGCGCAGAAGTCGCCGACTGTCTGCCGAGTCAATAGCTACAGACCTCCAAACTCCATGCGGCCATCAGATTGGCACAACAACAGTGCGTAGAGAGCTTCATGGAATGGGTTTCCATGGCCGAGCAGCTGCATCCAAGCCGCACATCACCAAGTGCAATGCAAAGCGTGGGATGCCGCGGTGTAACGCGCGCCGCCACTGGACTCTAGAGAA